TTCCTCAAACTGGAAATATCTTGCAGTGATTAAAAGTATAGTTTCATGCAATCACAGGCTTTCTAGAAATCAGATATCCTATTTTGTGTAATAAACTGGCCAATTTAAATTATTGTTCTCTGGCAAATAGATATATGAAAAAATGTTGAACATCACTGGTCATTGGAGAGATGCAAATTAAAATAAAGCTGAGATTCCATCTCACTCTAGAAAGAATGACTATTATTAAGAAGTCAATCAATAACAAATGCTGGAAGGACTGTTGGGGGAAAAGAGCCCTTCTCCACTGTTGGTGGGAGTAGAGACTGGTGCAACCACTGTGGAAATCAGTGTGGAGATTCCTCAAAAAACTAGGATTGGAGGTCTCATTTGAACCAGCTAAAGTCAGGATTAAACTCTCTATATAATTACCTATTCCCTTTCTGGGTATCTTCCCTAAAGATTTAAAAGCATCATACCACAGTGATATATGCACACCTATGTTTATAGCAGCACATCTTGTAAAAACTAAATCTTAGAAACAATGCAAATGCCCATTAGCTGAGAAATGGATAAAATGGATGTGGGTTTTACTTTTTATACAATGGAATACTACTCAGCCATAAAGAAAGATAAACTTGAGACATTTCTAAGTAAATGGATGCAATAAGATACATATGTGTAAGTATCCCTTTGTCTCTCTAGTGTGACAAACTGAAAGTGTAAATAAGAACCAAAATATATAATAGATATTGTGAGAAATAGGAAGAAATTGTTCCAAAGGAAAGAGGAACTAAGCAGGAGGGAGAGGGAAAGGAAGGGAAAAGAAAAAAAATGAGAAAAGGATAAAATGGAAATAAAGCTTTGTAAATAAGGAGGGAAAGAGGGGTTGAAGGGAGGGGAGGGGAAAGAAAAAAGAGGAATTAAAATATATCTTGGACAGGTACAAATTCCCTGTGATTAATATGACCATTATGTATATCTAAATTGTACCAATAAACTTAATAAATAAATAAATTATTGCTTTCTACAGACAAATAGTATTATAGGAAAAAATCCATCTTTGTATAGCCATTAATATTTTACCTGGATTTAGCTGTATTTTAAGTTTATGTTTTTTTAAAACAAAATACTGGCCTGAAGACTGGCTTCCTTGGCCCTGGTTTTGGCAGTAATTTTGACCAATCACATAAAATCTTGGCATTAATTTGTTTAAAAGGTCTTCTAATTGCCAGGCATGTTGGCACACGCCTGTAATCCCACCACTTGGGAAGCTGAGGCAGGATGATTGCTACAAGTTCAACCCAGCCTGGTTTTCATAGTGAGTTCAAGGTCAGTCTGAAGTAGACCCTGTCTGGGAAAAATAAAAAATAAAAATAAAAAGTCTTCTGGCTCTCAGTGCCTGTAAGTTTAAAACTAATCCATCAGCAGCATATATATGCCAATTAGATTGTGAACAGCTCTGGGAACATACATACACCATGATCAAACCACAGAATTATGTAAGATTAAAGACATCTTCATAATCAGTGAGTCAGATGCCTCACTTTAGGGATGAGGAAACTAAAGCCAAGAGTGGTTATTCAATTTGGCTATGATCGTGCATAGCATAGAGTTTAAGGTGGGGAAGAGTACATAATCGCATAGAACATCTAACTTTGTTTTTAAATTTTAAAATAATGTGCATGTTAATCTTCTAATATTAATTTTATATGCTTTAACATTGCAGTATTGCTCATAAGCAAAAATACTACAAATTACCTAAATGTGCACTAACTATAACAGAAAAATTAATTGTGCGGTAATGATGTGGTGGAATGCTAGGGGACAGAGGGGAACAAAAACAGTGCTTCCACGTGCCTTAACATTGGTGAACCTCAAAAGCAAGCAAAGTCACCAAAGAGCACAATTTGTTTGATTCACTGTTAGCAGCCAAGATTATTGAAAGGTTTAATCAAACAGGAAGTAATTTCTTTTTAAAGCAAAAGAATGTTAAAGAAAAAATCAGAATAATTTTTTATCTCTGAGGGGCAATGTTTTCTTAAGTTGAACGAAATATTGATGTATACTGTACTGAATTATTTTTCTTTAAAACTGACAAATATTTCCTAATTTTATTGTTCAATATTTAGAAAAAATAATAGGATGAAAAAGTTATACATGCTTCTGCTGAGAGTGTAAGTCAGTACAGTCACTTTAGAGGGATACAAGCCATATTTATTAAAATCATAAACAATGAATGTAATAGACTTTCTCCTGATATGTTGAATAAAGATGGGATTAAACTCTCTGCATAATTACTCTGCTTGCTCAGATTTTGAGAAGCCATCTCTGATTTGAGATAGGTTTGATTCCTCTGAAACTCTCTGAACGCTGCCCACACCCCGGACTTCCTCAGTCTCCCCGCTGACCCCCGGCGCCCTGTGCCACTGCACACCCACTGGGCCATCATACTGCTCTTTCTCAGTTGCATGTGCTGTGGACTCCAGTGCTAACATGCTCCCCAAACATTAAACAATCTAAGTTCTAAGGTCAATAACCAGACAAGAGTTTCATTTTTCCTGCCTTAAACTCACAGCATTCATGTCTGCCACTTAACAAGGAGAACTTGGAAAGTGTAACAAAGATGATCTGCTCTGCTTGTCACCCTCTGCCCCACCCTCCCTGAAATGCTGGAAACATTTTGCTGTGTCAACAGCTTAGAAGGCATATTGTTTGCCTGGAATGAGATCCACCCACCCCAATTTCAGAGATGAAGTTTTGGAATGGCTATGTTAACGACATGGTAAATGACACAAATGCAGCGGTAGAATTCACTACCAAGTCAGATCAGATGTTTTCTCAACAGTGACTGTGATCAAAGTGTTTACTGACAAAAATATAAATATTCATTTTCCATTCCTGGGGTTTAGATGAGGTGCACAGAAGGCAGAACAAGATTGTTAAAGCCTAACTTGTGTGAAAAATGTGCAGGAGTTCTTACTAAAACAACCTGCCTAAATATTCCCTAGTAGTACAAATATCCCTGAAGTAATGTAATTCTCCTTGGAATAGTTCGAAGTTTTCACTCAGAACCTACTCTGTATTTCTGAAACAAAGTTGTTTATTTTCATGTTAGAGATAGATATAGTCATGAAATACTTGAATTCAAGTTATCCTGCCATTTTCCAGACCTGAATTTGATGGCTGTTCCCTAACTGTGTGTGGAGTAAAGTTCAGATAACTTTATAATGTTTATGAAGATGCATAGGTCCACTCACAGGAGGCATTATTTGGTAAATGGTCTTTTACTGTTGTTGCTAGTCATTCTTCAGATTCCTCGGATATAAACCTATTTTCTTCATTAAATTCCACAGTTGTACTTGATAACTTTTCCTTTGTACTTTTTTGACTATGGTAATTTAAAATTTGAAGAAATTGCCTTTTTGAAAAGGAAAACAGATGAAGACACAGCAGAACATTTAGTCACAGTGTCATTTTGTGGGTATCTATTAAAGTGGCAAAGAGATTAGAAAAAGTTTCTTATATAGTATAAAATGTTTTATTTTTTATTTCAGTGTTTTGCCTCAAAATTCCAAGGCATTTATAATCATGGGTGTGGTTTAGGGGAGTTGCATACTTATTTGAATCTTATTCTTTAAAATATCTACTGATAAGCAGCCTGTATATCCATCAGTTGATGAATGGATAAAGAAAACATAGTATTTATGGAGTAAATGTATTTATAGAATACTCTGCCATGAAGAAAGATAAGCTTGAGTTATTTATAAGAAAATAGATGCATTTTGAGACCATAATGTTAAGTGAAATAAACACACAAGTTTAACTAATGTATGGTTTATCTTATATGAGAAACTCAAAGTATAAATAGAGAGTAAACTAAAAGATAGATATTAAGAAGTAAGGAGATAGATCCTTCTCAAAGTGGAAGGGGAACGAGAGATGGAGGAAGGCTAAAGAAAGGAGGGAAAGGGGGTGCAAATGGAATTAAGATGTGCTATATACATGTACCAACTCTACACAAAGAAAGTAAGCTTTATGTGCTACAAACACATACTAGTAAAAATAAATAAATAAAAATTTTGAAAGTTTTTTTTAAATCCTTTACTGATGTTTAATTGATATTAGATTCTGTTTTATTTAGGAGAAGATAGAGTAGTAGACTTGGAGAGTCTCTTTCTTAGGAAATGTGTTTAGGAAAATTAAACTCACTTGAAACACATTTTGAAATACTCAATTCATACCCACCAAATGGGCTAGCTAAGTTTCCTGTAATGTGGTAATTTATAGACCAGTGAGATTGCTGTGGCCTTTTCTGCATTTGTACATCACAAACTGCTTTCTGAGAGATGGGCTGAGAATGTGAAAGAGTGAAGCAGATGTAGGAGATTGTGATGAATTACTGAGCAGAAGCCAGGTCTAAAGGACTACTCAGTGCTCCAGCAGATTGCTCGTATACTGGAACAAAGACCCAAATAGCCGGGTGTGGTGGTGCACGCCTGTAACCCCAGCACTCGGGTGGCTGAGGCAGGAAGATCCTTGCGAGTTTGAGACCAGCCTGGGCTACAAAGTGAGCTCAAGGTCAACCTGAACTGCATTTTTGAGACCCTGTCTCAAAAAAAAGAAAAAAAAAAAAAAAACAAAGACCCAAATAGTGCCAAGTTACAAGAGGATTCTAGACGTCCATGGTGACCACCATTTTAAGCAATTAAAGATCAATTTAAGCAATTTAAAATCATGTTTAGCAACAAACCAAATAGAAAACACCTATAGGCCTGTGAACTGCCTATGGGACATCCCTGAACACACTAAAAGTGTTTCAGTACCATTCTTTCAAGTCTCAGTTTCTTGCAGAAAGCAGGTGAGCATTAATACATGTCTCTTGCATTTTCTCTCTTTTTTTTTAATTAGTACTGTGCATGTCTATTGTGCGTAATGATTACATTCATACTGGGGCACTGGTACATGTATCAACACATTTTAATCCTCACATTCCTGACATTTTTCTTTCCTTCCTCCAGGCTATGTGCTGTCTCTGGTCTGTCCAAACTCCTCCCAAGCTTGGTGTGAGATCACTAATGTGTCACAGCTGCTAGCTTCTGTCCTCTACACAAACCTGAATTCCAGCATACCCAACTTGAGCATTTCAACAAATGTAGAAAACAAATACAGTCTTTATGTGGGCTTGCTACTGGCCATAAGTTCCAGTGTTTGTATTGGCTCCAGCTTCATACTGAAGAAGAAGGGCCTCTTGCAGTTGGCCAACAAGGGCGCTACTAGAGCAGGTAAGAAACACACATAACTAATGAATTCAAATTTCTAGCAACAGAACAATCCTCTGTAAGTCCACAGTGCTACCATGGTAATCATTGACTGTCTCTATTTATCTTAGCCTCTGACTCCTTACTTGAGGGGGCTGTGTCACCCACGTCTCTGACCTCCTACATAAAGTGGCCCCTGATGCCTCCTCAGCTTCCTCTTGTGTGCTCATCCCGGTCATCTCTTTTTCCCTCATTGTTGGATAACCCAAGTTCTTTCTCAGACTGAAGTCTTTTCTCAATGTCTGGAATACTTCCCACTGCCTGTCATTCCACTGACTACCCTTCAGACTTTGGTTTCAGTTCCACTATCCTAGAAAGACCTCCTTGGACTATCCTGTCTGGGCAGGTCTCTGGCACTTGATCCCCATCATCCTTCCACTACACCAACAGTTGCCTTCCTTATTCCTGGAGTTAGGTATAGTCGTGCATGTGTTGTTTCTTCTTGTGAACAGGTTTACTTGTGTATTGACAGTAGATTCCTAAAGGCAGGAACCTTCCCTCATAGTATTTAGCACCGATAAGTAACTATTAAATCAGTGAATGGATAGTAGTAGTCTTAGGTCATTATGTATAGTGACATTTCAGTTGCCAAGTAGGCTCTGCCTGACTGTCCTTCATTAATCATGAATTTTCTATACATTTTCATCAAGTATAATATCATTAAAAATTTAGGCCCATATGAAAAACAATTAAACATTATGCAGACACATTTCTAAAAATGTACTTTTGAGGGACATTTGTACCATTAGAAAATAAAACATACCATGTTGCTATATTAATTACAATAGATCAGTACTGGCATTATACTAATAAAATAATAAAAGATTATTAAAAATTTAACAAGTGGACCCACATACACAAAACATTCAACATGTGGTTTTTAAAAGTGACTTTTTGGACCAATGGAAAAAAATGAATTATTTAATTAAAATTACAGAAACGGAAAAAATAGATAAGAAATACAAGATTTCTACCTTATACTATTCAAGAAAATACATCCTAGATAGTTTAGTGTTAAATTTAAAATGAAATGATTTCTGTAATAAACCTAAAAGAATGCTTTTCTCGTAAAGATAAAGAAAGAATCGCTTCCCCATAAAGGAAGATAGTATCTGGATTGATAAAAAAAAAAAGTAGATAGATAAAAATACGATAGTTCCTCTATGGAAAAAATAAGGTAATTCCTCTTGCCAAAACTAAAAAGCAAACAACATACTGGAAGAAAAATTATAAAATGTATGAAAAAGAACAGTTAAGTTTCATAATATGCAAAGAATGACTGCAGTCAACAAGAAAATTAGTACCATGATAGAAAACAGGCTAAGTAGATAAACAATAAATTCACAAAAGTCATAAATGAAAATGAAAGAGGAACAAAGAAATGCACATAGTAAATAGCAATACGTAAATGTTATTCCATTAGTACCCCCAGAAATACTAACTATGCAGTAATAAAGTCCCATATTTTAATGATTCCTATTCAGTCATTTGTAAATTTTGTAAGGAGATAATCCTAAACAAAAATAGTTAACTGCTTCACAAGACAACATTTATGGCTTATATATCTTGTTCAGTTTAATTATAACAAAACTAGGTCAAAGTTAGGGAGTCAAGAATATTAAAATTAAGAAAATTTCATCTTGCAAAGCAAATGTAACAATGTCTTCAGTAGTACTGTCACTATTCATGACAACAGTGAGTAGATAATCTTTTGAATACCATAGGAAAGCTTTTTATCCTTTTCAGTAAGTATACTAGTCAGAAAATTCATTATGTCAAGGTGAAAAATGCTAAGTAAACAATGTCTATCTGATGTTTGTTATTCTTATATTGACTAATCCAAACTATCTTCCTTCATTTAAAATCCTCATTAGTTATCAATACAATCTATGATTTAGAAGGTTTTTTATTTTAACTATGGCTAAACAAAATATTCAGTTTATAATATTCAGTGTCTTTACCTCTGGCTGACATAAGTACAAGGATCTGATTATTAAATGCAATTTCACACAGAGAAAAAAACTTTCTGTAGAAATTAAAGGTGAAATTTTAAAAGATCTTTGGAAATGACTAAAACAACTCCAAAGACTTCAGATTTATTCAGTTGGGCCTTGTCTTTTTCAGCATAATCTAGTGCCTTTTCTGGTGCTCAATTTTCTACCCTTTTTCCCTTAATTCAAAATTTAATTTTTATTGTTGTTTTTCCTAGGAGAAGGTGGGCATTCCTACCTCAAGGAATGGCTATGGTGGGCAGGATTACTATCAAGTAAGTTCTTAATAGTGAGAATAGAGTTTGCTTATAAAATGATAAATTTATTACATGGAGTTTTTAACATTAATTTTTCTGAGATAAGAATAGAATTTAAATCTAAAATTTTATGTGGAAAGAATATCATACAACATATGATATTACATGATATTACATTCTTCTGGCTGAGGATATAGCTCAGTGGCATAAGCACCTGCCTGCCAAGTGCAAGGTCCTGAGTTTGATTCCTGGTACAAGAAAAAACAATTGAATTCTTCCCTTCTGCAATCCTTGCCTGCTCAATACTATCATAGAATATAAGGAAAAAAGTTGGTATTAATATACTATATTTCATCACAAGTGCCTCTTATTTTCTTTCCCATAAGAATTGAGAAAGTGCTTTCCTCCTGTATTTCCCAAACACCTAATTTGAATCTATGAATATCCTAACTACGTATTTTCTCTGGAAAGGATACATTTTCCTTGCCAAGACCAAACATGAATAAATCCAAGGATTCTCTGGCTATTAACACTGGAAAAAACGGGAAGAAGAAGGTTGTCTGCACTGTCTCCTCCCAGACTTGCTTTCAGGGTTAAGGGAGACTTTGTAGGTTAGAAAGCACTTTCTAAATGCTTTATGCAGTGTCCATACAGAAGGCAGTGTTAACTCCCTCAGCCATTTCTGAAACACAAAGGCTGAAACTTCCAAAGAAAAGACGTCATAAATTATTATTTTCTTTTTTTCTTTTTTTCTTTTTTTGGTTTTTCTCCGGTACCAGGAACCGAACTCACGACCTTGCGCTTGCCAGGCAGGCGCTTTGCCGCTGAGCTAAATCCCCAGCCCCCTACATCATAAATTATTGTTTCATACTGCTTGCGAGTCATTTTCCTCTGCAGTCAGAAGTTTTAAAGCTTCCAGGAACAAATAACAAGCCAGGCATGGTAGTGCACACTTTTAATCCCAGCAATCAGGAGCCTGAAGCAGTAGCATCACTGTGAGTTTGAGGCCAGCCTGGGCTATATAGTGAGTTCAAGGCCAGTCTAAACTACATAGTGAGACCTTTCTCAAAAAAAAAAGCAGCAACAAAAAAACAGAAACAAATAACATATTTCAGTATATGTGTGATCTTATTGTAAGAAGGAACTTGGGTACTTTTCCTTAATAAATAGTGGACTCTAAAAGGATGATGGATGGAAGTAATTTAAATTTGTATAGCCTTTTCAGTCTAAAGATACTTTCACACCCACTTTTTTACTTCATTTGAATAAAACAACAAGAACTATACTGGGAAGATTTGAGACAGATATTGAGTGATTCTCCTTTTCCTCTCTTACTTTCATCTCCTTACTCTCTACTCTTACTTTAAAATGAAAATATTACAAGAACATCTTTATGGCTACATTTACAATTTTATTTTCACCATGTAAAAAAGCATCTTCCAGTATTAAAGAGATAAAACTACACAATAGAGAGTTATCTAGTGACAAATATATGGTATTTAATCATAGTTCACTGTTTTGCTAGATTACTGTCTTTAAGGTAAAAATAGAAATAATATTAAGTATTCAAGAAAGGCTTAATACTTAAAGAAAATTCTCGGACTCATTGTAAGAGCAGTCTCCTAACCATTCTTTCAGTTTTAGATGCATTTTATGGTATTTTCCTAATGCCAGTACCCCTATAGATTTGGGGAGTGTGTGGCAAAGTGGCCAAAGAAAGGGAAAATGGAGTTCTTTTTTCTCTCTTTAACGTTTGCTTGGTGTAGTTTGCCAGCATGAAATACTGCATTCCTTGGGCAAGCGTCCAGTTGTGATCTGTGAAACGGTTTGGCTCCCATACAACAGCCCGGTTCTTAGAAGGATTTCCCTCACTCTAGTAAGTCTAGAGTTTCTCAAATACAAAAATACAAATAAGATTACATTCAGAAAGGAGCACTTCATTATGATTTTACAGTAGCTGCTGGCATCTTCTTGAGTGGCACAGATGCTGTTACTTAGTTGTAGCTCATCTGCAGTTCAGAAATGACTGACTTTACAGGGATTCCTGGCTATCTCCCACCTAGACACCAGATATCTACAAAATGTTCTAATTTTACAAATTCTTTGTTGCTGTTAATTTGCAAGCAAGAGGTATACTTGAGAAAATAGAATAGTTCCTTGCTTCCTCCAAAGCCACCTCTACTCAATTTTATCACAGTGACCAAATATGTTTTCATTACTGAAGTGACTAAAATATCTCTTGAAAGTCATTTCAAATGTGTATTCATCAGTCTCCATTAGTTGTTATATCATCAGGTAATTATAGCTTATCTGAATCTCTTAATACCATTCCTCTCCCACGATCTATTTTTTAAAAAGTCAAATCATTTGTCCACTTTTCATCAATAGTACATAATAGCTGACACCACAACTTAAAGGAGGAGAATTTTATTTAGCTTATAGTTTCAGAGGGTTCAGTCTGTGATTAGCTGGCTCCAAAGCAGAAACACCACCACAGAAGGGCTTGGCACAAGAAAGCTGCTCATGAAAGCAGAGCACCACAGGGGAATAGTGTTGCCATGGACAGATAAATCTTCCAAAGCACACCCTCAGTGACCCATGTCCAGTAGAGCCCCACCTTCTATAGCACTCTCAGTTATAAGTATCCGTGGATTAATCCACTGATGAGTGTAGTGCTCCCATGACCAAATCACCTCTAGGAATCTCTTAATCCAATCAAGCTCACAATTAAGATTACCTGGCACATCATTCCTTTTAGCTAGATCTTTTAGCATCATTGAGGTAAAGTCCATATCTTTGCAAGGGTCATTTGGTTTTTCTCTTCCAATAAGTAAATTAATCGTGTACATTAATACTTCTGCTTGCTTTCTAGTGGGAGCAGGAGAGGCTGCAAATTTTGCAGCATATGCATTTGCACCTGCCACCTTGGTTACCCCTCTTGGTGCCTTGAGTGTTCTCATAAGGTAGGTGAGCAATAAAGAGTGTGGCTTCTGTAGGTATTTTAATATCATGGTACACTTAAACTATAACAAGCATTTTGCTACCACGGCTCCCTGAAAATAAGACCTAGCTGGAAAATCATTAGCCTTGAAAACTACAAATCAAAAATGCCAGGCCCAAGCAGCCTGTCCTTGGCTTACCTCACAGAGTAGCCACTGAGCAAAAAAGGACTGTAATGGCAGGTAAGGCAAGGAAAGGGTGATTGGGGCTGACAGTTTTCAGTTTCTAGTTTTCAAGGCTGATTATTTTCTAGTTCAATAGTTGACACCAATCTGAGATCTGACAGCACAGAAGACCTAAAATTATTCTGAGACTCCTGAAAAACTTTGGACAGGTCACTGAACCTTAGTTTCTCATCTGTAAAATGAAGATAGAATTTTTTTTCTTGGATTAGAGATGTGGCTTAGTGGTAGAACACTTGCCCAGACTATAAAAAAATTGCAGTAGAAATAGAAAGTCAAAAATTATTTGTAAACACTAAGACAGTGAATGTGGTTTCCTGCTGACATAAAGTAATTATGTATTATATTTAAGACTCAGTGAACGCTAGCAGAGTTTTATTTTTGTTTTTATATCTCTCACTTGAATAAACTGCCAAAGTCCTTTTAACTCCTGATCACAGTGATTGATGACTGTAATTATCAAAGAACTTTAAAAAGCAGTGTTTGGACTAAATTTCAGTTCTCATTAAAATTCTTAAATTGTCTGCTGGATACTTCTGTTTGAATCCCCAGTAGTTTCTTTTAGTATAGGAAGACTATTAAAAATAGCATGTGGATCATAGTATGTGGATTTGATTTTTCTGAATTAATATATGCTATGATCCCAAGTGAATGTGTTCAGTGAGGTCACTCTTACTTTGCAGCTAAGCTACCATGTTGTCTTTCTCATTTCCACTAGCTGTCAGCCTCTACTAGAAAGCTTATGATTGAGCTTACTCACTTCTATTTATCCTCACTGTAAGATTCTTTTCCTGAGAATTAAAGAAGTTAATACACATAAAGCACACAGAACACTTGTATTTGAAATGAATAAATAATATAGTAATAGTTTTAATATTCACTAAAGCTATAATCCCACAAATACTCACATGAGGACAATTCTAGGAAAGCACCTGGTGATTGCTCCTCATCTCAGGGGTGAATAGGCACCATTGTTTGCATTACTGGGAGTGCCAGAGCATACAAGGAAGGAGGCTGGCATACGGAAGCTGCAGCAGCAGATCAGTGAGCCCCATTGCTATTTTGTTTTGTTTTGTTTTGTTTTGTTGAAGTAGGGTCGTGCTATATAGTTCAGGCTGAACCTTGAACTCACCGTGTAGTCCAGGCTGGCCTGGAACTCACAGTGATCCTCCTGCCTCAGCCTCTGAATGCTGGGATTACAGGTGTGCACCACTGTGCCTGGCCCCATTGCTTTAGGACTCTGACAAGACTAAATATCATGGCAAGGAGCATGGAGTAAAGCTGCTTTCTTTGTGGCTGCCCAAGAAGTAGCTAGAGGGGAGGGCACCAGGGACAAAATATACCTTTCAAGGACATGCTCCTAGTGCCATACTTCCTCCAAATAGGTCCTGCCTCCTGCAGTTTCCACTACCTCCCAGCAGCTCATTTGAGCTGAGAACCTATCAATGTGTTAGTCCGCTGGTGAGGTTATAGCCTCATAATCCAATTGCTTCTCAAAGGCTCCACCTCTTGGACATTGTTGCACTGGGACTAAGCCTTTAGCTCATGAGTTTAGGGGGAATATTTCAGATCTGAACAATAACACATACTCTGGGAGTGCCAATGCACAACAACCAAAGGATTGGGATAACGCAAAAGTACCAGGACAGTAGCACGCAGTGTGAAAGTATTCCAATATTTGGATAATCTGAGTGAGTGAGCTGATACACACTAGCTACATATCACCCCTGAGCAAGTAAATCTTCAGGTATATATCATTCTTTTTGAAACTTTTATGGGCATATATTCTAAATGCATAGATTGAGCACCCATAATCTAAAAATCCAAAATGCTCCAAAATTTGAAAATTTTGAAGTGTGGATATAATATCACAAGTGGAAAATTTCACACTTCCATATCTGACTCAGATTGCAGTAAAACAGCCATGCTAAAAATATTTCATAAACCTACCTCAAGCTATGTGTATAAGGTATGCAGGAAACATAAATGAATTATGTATGCAGATTTGGGTTCCTTCCCCCAAGATATCTCATTATGTATATGCGAATATTCCTAAAATCAGAAAAATCTAAAATCTGAAATACTTCTGATCTCAAGCCTTTCAGATAAGGGATACTTTTTGTATCATGCCAGTAAGGTGTGAAAAATCTTTTGTTTGCTTGGCTTCATAGGAGAAGTAGGTCAGTTGAAAATAAACAGAGCCTCTTAGAAGGTCTTGGGAAGACAGCAGGAGGGTTAAATGCCTATGATAGCTCTTCAGATGTAAAAGCAATGAGGCAGAGGTGATTAGCCATCATCACGAGTGTACAGATCACTCAGGCTTTTCAGTGTCATGCAATATATTCAGGTCAGCTCATTGGGATACCACAGTATGACTTCTGAGCTACTGTGAAACCAAAAGGTAATTGAACCATAACAATTTTATTTTTCTCTCTCTCCACAGTGCAATATTGTCTTCCTATTTTTTAAATGAGCACTTGAACATTCATGGGAAAATAGGCTGCATATTAAGCATATTGGGCTCAACTGTGATGGTTATCCATGCCCCTCAAGAAGAGGAAGTCACTTCTTTGCATGAAATGGAAATGAAATTAAGAGACCCAGGTCTGTGCGTCAGCCTAAGTAAACATTCAAATTCTGCTCCTCTTTCTGTCCTAATCAAGTAATAGTTGTAATAATATAGTAATAGGGCTTGTACAAGCCTAACTGCAGGTTGTGAGACACAGTAAGATTTGTTTACTACAAGTCTTCTGAAAAAGTGAGAGAGTTTATTTTTGTGTCCATGCTGTCCCTCTATGTAATAAAAGGGAGAGATGGGCCTGGGAGAGGCATAAGATTTATAGTCAAATTTGTGGCTTGTCACCCTAAATAAAAATTAAAATGGCAGTACCTGTCTGGCCTAATAATACTGGCAAGATTCAAATGAAGTGTTTGTGAAAGCTTTTTATAAAATGAAAACTGTGCAATAGAATGTTACTATTTTTAATTTAATCTTCTATTTCTAAAGCACCTATCCTCTTAAATTCAAGACTAACAAAATTTCAGGAAGGCCCAATCCTTTCTGAAAATTAACATTTTCCAAAGTATAATTCTTTTCTCTTTTTAACAGGATTTATCTCCTTTGCTGTGATCATAACTGTGATCTCCTTGGTGCTGATTTTAATTGTAGCTCCCAAGAAAGGGCAGACCAATATACTGGTGTACATTTCAATCTGTTCTTTGATTGGAGCATTTTCAGTTTCTTCTGTCAAGGGCCTGGGAATTGCCATTAAGGAACTACTAGATCGGAAGCCAACTTACAAGAATCCACTGGTCTTTATTTTGCTGGCTATCCTTGTGCTTTCAGTAACGACACAGATTAACTATCTCAACAAAGCACTGGACACATTTAATACATCTCTTGTGACTCCCATTTATTATGTATTCTTCACATCCATGGTCGTGACTTGCTCTGCCATCTTATTCCAAGAGTGGTATGGCATGAAAGCTGGAGATATCATCGGAACCTTGAGTGGGTTCTTTACCATTATCAATGGCATCTTCCTTCTACATGCTTTTAAAAATTCTGACATTACCTGGAGTGACCTGACATCCACTGCTAAGGAAAAAGTCCTTTCTCCAAATGCCAATGAGAACAATTACATGTTACTAGAGAATGTAGATTTTTCAACAGCAGGATATGAAGATGACATAACCTTGTTTAGCAGGACTGATGATCAAAGACTCTATAAATCCTAAACTTTGACCAACATAAGACACTTTGAGAGGAGAAACAAGACTTATTCTTGGAAGTACTGTTAGGAAAACAGGTGTTTTTAAAATTCTGATACTTTAAATGTGAAGCCAAATTAAAAAAAAAAAAAGTTCTTTACTTGGGCCATTCAATTTGAACATCAAGTTTTGATATTCTTCCAGAAGACTTCTGCATCTTTCCGTTTCTGCACATTTTAAAATATTGCCTAAGCATAATTAAGAAGTCAAGGAGTTATATTTGTCTCAGCATAATCTCTTCTGACCACAAAAAGATTTGACTTTGCAAGGTGGTGCCTCATTTCCACGGTGGCTATTCCTAGATTTGTGGTAATTCTCAGATTAAGTTATCTGTGTTCTGATAAGCAGAGTCACCATTCTCCGATGAGTCATAATCCATATTATTAAAGCTGAGAAGTGAGAACGCTGTCGCTTTATCCTCCCTTCAGCAACTTTCTTCTTTTTGAACTGGAAAACTAAAAGGTGGAGTATTAAAGAAAAGAACAGGTCTGCTTTCAGAATCTGTACCTCATTGGGCTAGAATGAACAAGCACACCCACCCATGAAGACATAAATTGTGGTTTATTCACATAGTATAAGACTTTATTGCCAATTAAAGAGGGAGGATGGAGAAAGGAGGAAAGTACTTTACAGCTTAAATAAAGGAAACAAATTTTCCCAAAAACACACATACAAAGAACAGGTTCTTTAAACACAAATGTGGATGGTATCAGACAAAATGAACTTTCTGGGAAAGTCCAAGTGAATTCAGCTTTAAAATTGTTCATATTTTTTTTGTCTCACTCTTTTATTATCCCATAGGTTACTTTTCTTGTTGACAAATACTTTTGTGAAATAACTGCTACCTTTTTTTCAAGATTATATGGACCACTTTAATTTTTCTCAAATATTTTATCCCTGAGGGTAGGTTTTCTGAGGCTCTTCAGAAACAACTGGAAAAAAAAAATCTTTGTTAAAAGAAAACGTGAACAAATTATCCTGGTTTTCTTGAAATTTGGTGCTGTAACCCTTAATGAGGAAATTATAATTGGTTACTAACTTTCCAAAATAAGCATATCCTATTGCTATAAGTGGCCAGATTGGTTTTTTTCTGTTAAATTCATCCTGGTCACATTTTTCCATATAGTTACTGATGATGTGTTCAAGGAGAGTGGGAAGGAGAATGAACTTCCAGGAAAACAAAATATTAAGACCTCACAGCCTACTACAAGAGATCTTTTTCACATTAAGACATTCAATAATTTTTCTGTTTAATTCCAGATTCATGGCAGGAATAACATTTTTGGTGAACTTTATTGTTTATGGGCAGATTTCCTGTCACCTGTGGGTATTATAGAAAAGAAATTTGCTATCATGTGTCTAGGCTAAACTTCTGTCAAAACAAATCTTCTACCAAAAAGAAACTTAAGTTGACTGGATTGTTTCTTACTCTTAACTTCAACTTTTTTTTTTTTTTTTTTTTTTGCTTTTGAATGAAGTCAAGCTTACCCAGGCTAATAATAGTAAACTCTGCCATTCAGAATTCTATTAAACTGTCCTCCGTATTTCCACTCCTGTACTGAACAGTGACTGATATCCACAGTGATGACCTGAAATGACAGCAAAGTCTTAAACTGCTGTTAGAATGTTCAGCACAGTTCAGTGTTGAGCATAATTCAAGGAATTCTAAGTTTTTGAAAACTGATTATCCATGGAAGATCCATGGTTTGATATCGCAGGTTAAATACATGTCTACTCTGTTGACTGGTGACTCTTTTCACTGGTGTATCAGATGTATAAGCCATGAACACAAATTTGTGGAAGCATCTTCTGAAAAATGTAGTATTTGAAAACTCTAGAACTGTTTAAATGTTCTTTTGAGTATTGAGAAATCCATTGGTTTCCCCGGGACACCTTTTCGGTGAGGAAATTAATGGCATTTCTGACATCTAACCTAAGGGTGTGGTGGTGCTGTTCCACTCTGTGGAACTCAACTTTCACACATTTATTCAATATCACCTGTCATTTGATACCTTAAATGTCAAGTTTTGCCCTTGGTACATTGTGCCCAGGTCAAGGTTTTTTGGAACACAAAGAGAAGTGTTTATATTAGATTGGGAAATGAACTGGTGCTGACATGTGTGCCCAGGAGAAGGACTGAAAAAGATTTGAGTTGTAGTATGTGGGAAAACAATGAAATATTTGAAAAACTCTCTATATAAAAATTAGTGGTGGACATATGCATTAAAAACCTTAAAATGTTTGCAAATCTAACATTAATTTTCTCAAATAGGAACATGCTGTTGAAGGGAGAATAAAATGCTGGATCCTTTATTCACACCAATATGTTAGGCTTAACTAGTTAGTGTGTGTGTGTGTGTGTGTGTGTATGTATTTTAATATATATGCATATATTTATCATCACAAAAATCTATTTGTAAGATTTATTATGTGAATATTGGTACACATGTAATTAAGGATTATAAAATTGTGCCAGCACAGAAAAAATATGAAAACTTTTCTTAAAGCTGTAAAACTAATTATTTTATTTTTTGTCTTATAATTTTACTCTTTAGTCAATAGTTAATGATTTTTAGTTCAGAATACAGAAGTTCCTAAAACCCTTTGGATTTAGCAACATGATATTAAATTAACATCCATTTTTCAAAACTATTACATGGAAAACATCTTGCATCATGCCCAATATTTTATGGGCAATTGATAAATTTAGTTCTTCTTAAGCCAACATGTTAATTTTTACTATCTTGTTACTAGAGATGTAAGAACTGCTGAGTGCCAGGTCTTGTAAGCTCTTGATCTTTTCTCAGTTTGTTAAATCATCCAAGTGAAAGTGAATTCCATCATGGTACTACCAGTACTGATATAATAGTGCAACAAAAAAATAGTTTTTCTTAAAACCAGTAAAACTGAACTACATGCTAATTTTACCTTTCAACAAAAGTATGTTAAAAAGTAATTTATGTTAATATATGTGAAATGTTCTCATATATCTTAAATTATGCTCAGGAAATTTTATATTTTTCAAATGTTTATAAATATTGTTCATTTTAGAGTACAGATTTTAAATGTTTTTGTGTATTTTACATTTGCAATAAAAATATGTGGCTTAATTATGCTTTTTGGAGTTTATGGACATTAGGAATATGTAGTGGCAAAAATATCCTTATTTTGAGATTGAGAAAAGAAAGCCCCAGAGTTTTTAAAAAAAACTGTACTGAAGTTAATTTTGCTTTTTCATTTTCCATGACACTGAAATTTGTTTTTAGAAGGCTGTCCACAAAATCAGCTCATGTGTAACAGATGTGGCACCCGAACAAAAGAAACTGCCCTGCCTCCAGTAATTCTATTGAGCATGATAGAAGCTAAAAGCAGTCAGTATAATGAAATCTCCCATTAATTTAGTTAGAAAAAAAGAAAGTACAGTAATCTGTTGATATCTGTGCGGGAGTTGTTCCAGGACAATCTTGTAGATACCAAAATCTGCAGATTCTCAAGTCCCTTATATAAAGTAGCATAAGATTTGTGTAGAACCTGTGTGCATTTCCACATTTGAAATTATCTCTAGATTACTCATAATACCGAATGCAATGTACATGTCTTGTAACAGTTCTTTGCCCTGGCTTGGCCTGAACTCATGCTTAAGAACAACTCCCTTGTTTCCAGTTCATAGAAATGAATTCTCTGGGTACAAAATACCCCTTTTATGTGTCTCCCACAGCCCTTCTTTTCCTACATTATAAATATGTGAAACATGAAAAGCCATAGATACTTAGCACCAGAATGAGGTTCAACAACCAAGACTCACACCTGCTTAGTCCCTGGAAAGTAGACCCGGGAGGACAGGCGGGGTCTACTGTGCACAAGGCAGGGCCTCTGGAGCTGCATTAGTACAAACTGCTGGCTCAGACAGCAAACTGTCAAGCAGGCCAGCATCCTGGCTGCAGCGCAAAGGAAGCCACTGAGAAGTATGCTTCAGTTATAAAGATTCTTAAATCATACTTTAACAGTAGGGCAACATATATTTCCCAATTAAAAACTTTGTTTGAAAACAACAATTTTTTTTCTTTTTTTTAGTTTAAAGAGAATAAAAAAGAACAATAGCAAAATATCAACAACAAAGAAAAACAAAACAAAGCAAAAATAATAAAAATGATACAGGGTTTCAGAACGAAACAATAGGAATTAACAGTGGTTGTTATATTACATATTGTTAACTTCAGTGACATTGCTTAGATCACCAGATGTAAGAATGCAAGATTGAACAAATCATTAAAGAGAATAAAAAATAAAAACAAAAAAAAAAATTAGAAGCAATACAGAGTTTCACTAGACAAGATGGTAGGAATTCACCAATGGTTCTTATATTGCATATTGTTGTCTTAGGTTAGTTGTTCAGATTACCAGATATAAGCATGCAAAATTGGTCAAAAAATTAAGCATTAACTGCTCCTTTCAACAAAACATTAGACATCAGCAGTTCAGTTATCCCAGCTATTCTTCTATATACATACATATATATTTTCCCCTTCTTTTTTTTCCTCCTTTCCCTCATCCCAGTTGTTCCTTTCTTTGAGCAATTTATTTCTGTTTCATAATATCTACTGTATGTTTTGGATTTTCTTTACTCTTTCAGGTTATTATACTAGGGAGACAATACAATGTTTATACATGTGGGTCCAATTTATTTCACTCATGAGTATGGTCTCTAATTGCATCCATTTACCTATAAAAGACTCCAGTTTATCTTTTCTTAGAGCTTAGTAATACTCTGTTGTATAAAAATACATCTTTTTTATCCATTCCTCAGTTGATGGGCATTTAGGTTGTTTCGAAGATTTAGCGATGACAAATTGTGATGCTGTAAACATGGGTGCACACACATCACTGTGGTATGAAGTTTTTAATTCTGGGAAAATACCCAGAAGGGGAATAGCTGGGTTAAATGGGACTTCCAATCCTAGTTTTGTGAGGTATCTCCAAACTGATTTCCACAGTGGTTTCAACGATCTACACTCCCACCAGCAGTGTAGAAGGGTTCCTTTTTCCCCACATCCTCCCCAGCATTTGTTGTTGGTTGATTTCTTAATGATAACCATTCTTTCTGGGGTGACATGGAATTTCAGTATTGTTTTAATTTGCATGTCTCAAATGACCAATGATGTTGAACATTTTTTCATATGCTTATTTGCCATGTTTTCATCTGAGAAGTGTGTTCATCTCAGATGCCCATTTTTGGATTGGGTCTTTGAATTTTGTGGCCTGATGTTTTTTAATTCTTTATGTATTCTCAATAGAAGTCCTTTGTCTGAGAGATAATTGGCTAAAATTTTTTCCCAATTGATGGGTTTTCTCTTCACTCTGTTGGTGATTTCTTTTGATGTGCAAAAACTTTTCAGATTTAGTTCTCAATAAGATGAGATACCAGTTGTTGATTTTTTGAAGTTTTTCCCATGCAGTTTGGTTTTGTTAATGAATTCTCTGCCTACCCCTATGTTTTGAAGATTTTTACCTACTTGTTCTTCCAGTAGATTTAGTGTTTCTGTTTCAATATTTAGATCTTTGATCCATTTTAACTTTAGTTTAATGCATGGTGATAGACATGGGTCTAGTTTTAGTCTTTGGCATGTGGAAATCCAATTTTCCAGAACTATTTATTAAAGAGGCTATTTTTCTTCCAGTGAACATGTTTGGCCCCTTTGGCAAAGACAAGGTGGCTGAGTGTGTTTGTAGTTATGTCTGTATCTTCTAATCTGTTCCATTGATCTTCAGGTCTGTTTTTTTGCCAGTACCATGCTGATTTTATCATAGTAGCTTTGTAGTATAATTTCAAGTCAGGGATTGTGGATTCTTTCTGCATTTCCTTTGCTGCCCAGGATTGCTTTTGCTATTCTAGGCCTCTTCTGGTTCAAGATGAATTTTAGGAATTTTTTCTCTAGATCTGTGAGGTATACTACTGGTATTTTAATTGTGACTGCATTGAATCTGTACAAGAATTTAAGAAGTATCGCCATTTCCACAGTGTTGGTTCTTCCTATCCATGAACAAGGAATATCTTTCCATTTTCTGAAATCCTCTTGGATCTCTTTTTTTCATTGCATAATTTTCACTGTATAGATCTTTTACTTCTTTTTTTAGATTGATTCCTAAGTGTTTCATTTTTTTTACATGCAATTATGAAAGGTGTGGTTTCCCTAATTTCTTTCTCAGTGTGTTTGTTACTTATGTACAGGAATGCTATTGATTTTTGAGTGTTGACTGTATCCAGATGTGCTACTGAATTTGCTTAATAAATCTATAAGCCTTTTGGTGGAGTTTTTGGGGTCTTCTGTGTAGAGTATCATGTCATGTATGAATAATGATAATTTCACTTCTTCCTTTCTTATTCTTATTCCTCTTATTTCTTTCTCTTGTCTAATTGTTCTGGCTAATATTTCCAGAACTATATTGAATAGGAGTGGTGACAGTGGACATCCTTATCTTGTCACTGATTTTAAAGTGAAAGGTTTCAGTTTTTGTCCATTTAGTTGATGTTGGCTGTTGATTTGTCATAGATAGCTTTTAGCAGATTGAGGTAAAGGCCTTCTATTCTTATTTTCTGTAGGCTTTTATCATGAATGATTGTTGACCTTATCAAGAGCTTTTCCTGCATTGATGGAGATGATCATGTGACTTTTGTCTTTGGCTTTGTTAATATGGTGTATTACATTATTTGATTTGTGTATATTGAACCATCCCTGCATTCCTGGCTTGATACACTTGGTCATGGTGTATAGTCTTCTTGATAATTTGGTGCATTCTGTTGGCTAGTGTTTTACTGAGAATTTTTGCATCTATATTCATCAGGGAGATGGGCCTGTAGTTTTATTCATTGGGTCTTTCTCTGGTTTTGGTATCAGAGTAATACTTGCCTCCAGGAATGAGTTAGGGAGAATTTCTTCTCTTTCCTTTCATTAAAGAGTTTGAGAAGAATTGGTGTTAAATGTTCTCTAAGTTTCTTGGAGTATTCAGTTGTGAATCCATCAGGACCTGGGTTTTTCTTTGTTGGTAAATTTTTTATTACATTTTCAACTTTGTTGGCTGATATTGGGTTATTCAGGATTTTTATATCTTCTTGATTCAGCTTTGGTAATTCATATGTATCTAGAAATCTGTCCATTTCCTCTGTATTCTCCATCCTATGAGAGTAAAGGTTTTTAAAGTAGGTCTTGATGATCTTCTCAATTTCTGCAAGATATGTGGTGATTTCTTCCTTTTCATTCCTTAGTGTATGAATTTCAGGTTTTTTCTTTCCTTTTTTGATAAGGTTGTTTATCAATTTTTGATAAGGGGTTTATCAATTTTATTTATTCTTTCCAAGAACCAACTATTTGATTCATTAATTCTTTGTATTTTTTTCTTAGTCTCCATTGTGCTAATTTCTGCTCTGATCTTTATAATTTCCTGCCTTCTTTTGGCTTTGGGCTTGACTTGCTTTTCTTTTTTAGAAGCTTGAGGTGTAGCATAAGATTATTTGTCTCATTCTGTTTTCCTGATGTGGGAATTCACTGCTATAAATTTTCCTCTGAGGATTGCTTTCATTGCATCCTACAAGTTCTTGGAAGTTGTATCTGCATTTTCATTTGATTGTAAATAGTGTTTAATTTCTTCTTTAATTTCCTGTATAACCCATTGTTTGTTCAGGAGGGTGTTATTTAATTTTCATGTGTTTATGGAGTTTTTGTGATTTCTTTTATCATTAATTTCCAATTTCATTGCACTGTGGTCTGATAGTATGCATGGGATAATTTCAAATCCTTTGCAATTACTTAAGCATGTTCTATATGCTAGCATATGGTCTGTTTTAGAGAACATCCCATGTGCAGCTGAGAAGATGTTGGGTGGAACACTCTGTAAAGGTCTACTAAGTCCATTTGTTCACAAGTTTGGTTTAGTTCAGTTATTTCTTTGCTGGGCTTTTGTCTAGTTGATCTATCTTTTTGTGACAATAGGGTGTTAAAGTCCTCTGTTATGATTGTGTTACTGGTTATTTCATTTTTCATGTCTGTTGAAATTTGTCTTATATAGTTGGGTGCTCCTGTATTTGTTGCATAGATATTTATGATTGTTATTT